AAGATTTATACTATATCTTTGACTTACAATTTATTTAAAAGACATTGTATGATCTCTTCTCCTAGTATTAGAAACCTTAAAAAGTATATTTCCATTTTCTGTTGACTTAAAAAAAAGAGGTTTGTACTTATGTTGTTCATTTATTATTTCTTGCCCATATCTTGTAATATGAGAAACTACTTTGGCAGTAACAATACACAATGTACTAACCACTGTCACTCTCCTAAAATCTTGTTTTGAGATGTTGTACCATTGATTTTATTTTTTTTCTTTAAAATAAAAATAACTGATGTCAAAAAAAGAGAAACTTCCATTCATATAATTAGAATTCTCAAAGTATAAAAGCATTTATTTTTAATGTTTACAAAAACACACTTCCCTAGTAATCAATGCTAAAAAAATTAATCTAATCAAGGTATAAAATGAATGAAATAATAAGGTAAATAATTTAGTATTCTTTCATCACCCTATCTCTTCCCCACCTGCCTGATTACTAAAATCTAGTATAGCATCCCTACGTCATTACAGTTATTATTTGTGTGACTTTTACAGGAATCAGTTTTGAAACTGAGACTCAGTTATGCAAACATCACCATTCAGATGGAGCAGAGACCTACCACCATGCCCACCACTGGTCATCTTTACAGAATAATGTCTTTCATCTAAAGTTCTTAATTATGAAATTCATCTCTTTGCTTGGCTGAGTACTTTTGCAACTTTTCAAATGATGTTGCAGCACAGCTTTTGCACAGCAAATTTTCTATGAGCTAGTACTTAAGATGGATGGGAGGCCAAATCCTTTCCCCTTTTCCTTAATCAGCTCTGTTGCTCTATGCAAGAAGAAAGATTCTTACTCTATTTTCATCTCTGGAGGATACCGGAAAAAAAGGAAGACATTCCCAAATTCTTAAAACTTAATTACTATCTTTAATTTTTAGTATTTTTAACGCTTTTATATTTTTGTTCATGTATCTGTATGTCTTTTGAAGAGAAGACAGAAAGAAAGAACTTTTATCAGAAATATTATCCTAGAGGCTGTAAATTGCCTAAAATAAACATGAAGAAGAGTTTACAGGTCATGTAATAGTTCATTCTGTGCCAGAATCAAGAAACTTCTATTCATATAATTAGAATTCTCAAAGTATAAAAGCATTTATTTCTAATGTTTGCAAAAACATAGTTCCCTAGTAATCAATGCTAAAAAAAACCACAATCTTATCAAAGTATAAAATGAAATGAAATATAAGAATTTAGTATTCTTTCATCACCTTATCTCTTTCCCACCTGCTTGATTACTATAATCTAGTATAACACCATGCCCAGTGTCAGCACAAACATTTTGATCCCCTTACAAACTAAAGGCATTGGAATGAATGAGATACAGATTTCCATCTTAAGGTTTCATCAGGATAATATTTTTCTTTCTTTCTTTCTTTCTTTTCTTTTTTTTTTTTTGTATTTTAGGGAAGGGTCTACAGGGTGTTCAGGGTCTCACTACTAGATTGGACTTGTAGTGATCCTCCTGTTTTCAGCCTCCCCAGTGCTGGGATTACAGACGCACACCACCACGCCCAGACCCATTCACTGGCTTGGCCTGTCCCAAGGCTGGGGCGGGCATAACATGTAGGACCAGGGTTCGGTCCAAACCAGGTGCTTAGTCCTCAAAGCTATCTCGCCAGCCCTTGAACTATTTTCATATTTACTTGCTTTCCTATGTGTGATAAACCTTTTGTTATACTTATGAAAATTAAAGTTTTACATATTAAATCAGCTGAAATTTTTCTTTGTAGACAATCTAATTTTACAAAAACACACAACTACTGATTCATATTTTCTTCTGATAAAAAAATTATTTTTAATTCATCTGGCATAACCTAACTCTAAGAGCTGACACTGAAGGTAAAGAGTTTAAATCTCACCTTTTCCAATATTAGCAGTATGATGGGAAGTAAAATCATTAATCTCTTTATCTCTTTATCTACATTCCTATAAAATAGAAACTTTGATAGTGAAAGCGCAGACTTTACAAACTCAAATTACTGTCGTGATTAAATCAAGTCACTTTGTTGAAAATACATATTGAGCGTCTGCCATGTGCCCAGAAGAAATCAGGAGACCGTGGATACTACAACACCCTGTAAATGAAAATCCCTGCCCTTACACAGCTGGCATTCTACTGAGAGGGTATGCGTACCGAGAGTGGGGTGCGCATACCAAGTAGAGATTCTTGGCTCAAGATGACACCGAATGCACAAATTATCATTATTAGTATAGTGAGTTGGCCAGAGTTGGAGGAGGAAACTAAATTGATAATTTAAATTTTTAATCAGCATTTCAACCATTTAGCAATTATTGGATTTTTAAAGTCCCATGATTTTTCAGAACCATTAAAATAGTTGCAGTGTTTGTAGAATAATTTCTGAAGCATCATCATTGTCTAAACTTACCACTTTTTATTCAAAGTAAACAAAGGAGACAATAACAACAAACATAACTCTGACACAGTATATAATACAAACACAAAATTTCTCCTCTCTCTCATCCCCAGCCTGAATTTCCTAAGGCACACGTTTCTAAGGCATCTTGTTACTCAGCAGCTGCAGAAGCTGGTGCTTCATAAC